GCGGTATCGCTCATAGGCTAATATACGCACGGCTACAGACGGTAGAAAAGTGTACGATATATAACTACCATATGGCGCGAACAATTTGAGTTACATTTCTTACATTCTAGCTACATATAAACACATGTCGTAGCTATAATCACCGTTGAGTTTATTGAAGCACGAATAGTTAAATTAATTACCAAAAATATACGCGCGGTATCGCTTATAGGCTAATATACGCACGGCTATAGACGGTAGAAAAGTGTACTAACTATATCATATGGCGCGAACAAATTGAATTCTAGACGTGATGCGGCCATGATGCCGAGGCGCTCCGAGGATTGAAAATTTGTGTCTTCCAATCACAGCCTACGCCGCACCAGTATTTTATATATTTAAAGGTGGGGACCCATTGGACAATCAAATCGGCGATCTCAGGAACTAGGGCATTCTGCGATGTTTTAACGGTTTCCTACGATAGAGTTTGCCACAAATACGAAAATAAGTCGCTGTTTAGCGCACTGTGCTACGTCCTTCTGTTGCATTTTCGCTTCTCCGTAATCAAAATAAGCCCCGCCTTCTTCGTTGATGGACAAGCTTTACGTTTAACTGCGCGTGCAGGCAGAACTATATGAGTAGTGTAGTGTAGTATAAGTGTGTAATAGTGTATATAAAATTGTAGTCTATATATATTGTAGTATAAGAGTAGTATAGCAAGAAAGGTGCTGCCACCGCACGATACAGGGTCCGAAGGACGCTTGGAGAGATGGAGCCATTCGGACAAACAGGTACAGCAACGACAGGACAAGGAAAACCACATGCAAGGCAACAAGCAGCAATCACTATACACACGTCCGTACAAAAATTCACACAGCGTAGACCACGCGAAGGTAGCAAGGCGATTCTACCACGAAGAGTCACGATAGAGGAGTCGTTATAGAGTATCATTCACCAACAATAACATGGGGCGGTACAGAGAACACAGACAAGAATAGAGAATAATGAGTATGAAGCTCGCTCTCTTTCTCTCTCTCGCTCTCTCTCGCTCTCTCTCTCTCTCTCTCTCTCTCTCTCTCTTCCTTAATTACTCACTCACTTACTCGGTCGCTCTTTTCCTGGCCTCCCTTTAGCTCCCCGGGAAATTATTCCTAATTAAAGTAGAGAGTTCACAATCATTAGGACATTGTCCGTGATATCTTTTTTTCTTGTTGTTTGTGCACAGCGGTGTGCGTGCGATGTATTTGTGTGTTGCAGAGGAGCATTTGAACAGCATTTACAGAAAATTATCGGCAATAATAGGCGAAAGAAAGTAAAAAAACATTTCAACTTTCATAGTAAATACATCTCTTGTTTATTTATAATAATTTTCTTTAGTGAAACTGTTTCAAGTGACTGTGCCTAGAAGCGCACGGCTACACGGGTAGCCCCATCACATCCTAATATAGCTGTACACGGGCTCGCTCTCTTACCGACTAGATATATATTATACTCCCTTCCCCCGCGCCTCCCCACAACACACACTCAGATGTAGAGCGTTGATCTGAAGCTACCGTGCGCTCATTTCCCTCCCGGCCATTCGACTCCCGCCTTCTTTGTGCTTTGACTATGACAAAGATCACTACCATGATGACAGCTGAGAAGATCGTTACAAGTCCACTGAAGTAGAATGGTACCGCGTAGTTTTTAGTCTTTTCACGTAGAATACCTGAAAACCAAACAAGTTACAAGGTGATGTACGTGCAATCAGCACAACCTAATGATGTATAGAACGGCGGCTGTACAATGAACAGTTAATGTGAAGAACATTAATTGCTATAACCAAGATAATATAGCTGTGTAACCATGTTGAAAACATCTGCTACTTATAATTCATGTTTAAAATTGCTATCTATGTTCACTAAAATCACAATTAATGCGCATACACGCGCACGCTCGCACGCCCGCACGCACGCTCACACGTACGCAATCATGCACGCACGCAAGCACGTACACACAACATTCCCTCTTTTAACATAATGTTGGGTCCGACACCTTTTCTAAGCTGAAGCTAATTTGCGACATTCTGTAAATGTACGAATCATCATAATTGTCTAATCGACAGCTTTAATTTCTAGCTGTTTACTTTTTGAAATCCCACCACAGCTTCAGGTATACACGCCACAGAACCACATCAAATTTATTCGTTGCATTGGAGGCCACTGACAACATACGTAATAAATACGTGTTATATGCATGAACGACTCTATTTAGCAAAATTGGACGGTTTACCAGATTGACCAAGATGCCTTCTGAAATTCTTGAGAAAACCCCCGATATATATCTATATCTACCTATCTATTTATCTGTCTATCTATCTATCTATCTATCTATCTATCTATCTATCTATC